AGCAAAATACAAACCCAACATTTGAACATTGAGTGCCTTCAGAGTCTGGCAAAATGAGTTTAACCATCTTTTCTATAGACTTTAATGAAGAACTTATAACCAACCACTAATTTTGGCTATTGCAAGGCTCTAGAACTGCAGTTGCTAAAGAATAGGATTATATGCAATAGCCGCAAGAAAATTATCTTATGATAAAAGTGGAAAAAATACATGTCGCATAGCAAGTTCTAAAATCCAATATGTCCAGAATATTGGTGGTGTTTTTCAAGCATTTCTGAGACATTATGGCTCTTATGTAACACTGTCAGATTTAGTAAGACGTACTGCAATGTTGCATAGGCGCTGACTTTTTAAAATTTTTTCCTGGGGGTGCTCTGCTCCACCCCTTCCCCTGAGGCCCTGCCCTTGCACAGCCTCTTCCCACCCCTGCTCCGCCATCACTCCGCCTCTTCTTGCCTCTGCTCCAAACCCTCCCCCGAGACCCCCACTGCTCGTTTTTCTCTGCATGCCCTCAAGCACTGCCTCCAGCCACCCAACAGCTGATCGGCTACCCCCAGCCGCCCAACAGCCGATGCTGGTGGTGCTGAGCAGCCACATTTTTTTTCTGTGGGTGCTTGAGCCCAGAGCACCCACAAAGTCAGCAATTAGGCGTGTGACTTACTAAATTAGTGTTGGTTGCACATGTTAAAGTTGCCTTGGGGTAGCTTTACTAAAGGGGGATCCCTGCTTTCAAAGATATGAAAAAGTAGAAGACCATACTATACATTTCAATTGTTTGTCTGGCTCATTTCCTCTACGTGACCCTCCCCCAGTAAATGGCAAATCTTGAGAAATGAATGAATACCAAAATAGAAAATATAGTTTGAATTAGAAATCTAATGTTGTAGCACTTCAGTTTTGTCTATGCTGGCTAGTGGAAACATAATTTCTGTTTTTAAATGTAAATAAATTTGCAAATTCAGTCTTTAGCAAATATGTTTATGCTTAAGGAATATAAAATTCTAAATCATGTGAAATGAGTGGGTTTATTTCCTATAGAGCTCTCTGGAAAGAGCTGGAAGTATTTTTTTTTTTCCCCCCTCTGATTATTTTTGTGATTCATTAAACTTTTTTCCATTTTCCAGGATAAAAATACATTACAATAATATGACTGCTTTGCCCCTCTTGTTTATATTATGAAATACAAAGACGCTAAAGATGATACTCTGTTTGCCAGTTTCTTTTTCAACAACTACTCTGTTGCTGTTATAGAAAATCCTCCTCCCCCCCCCCAAAAAAAAACCAAAACACTCCACCAGTAAACTACCATGGATAGAGCAGTTGGAGGCCTTTAATTGGTTTTGGCTTTCTCTTGCAGTTTGATCTTTGACTCATATGTAAATGACCTGCTGTGAAGTACAAACATTAAAAATACTTAGTCAGTTGTGTACTGCATGTAGTTAGGAAAGTATGAAACTACTGTCTGCACCTACTCTCAAGTCTTAATGTACCATGTAAGGTTGCAAGTCAGTTGAGCTAACATCAGCAGTATTGTCCAGGCCTTAAGAGAAAGTCATGGTTTCAGTCAATGTGAATTGAAGCAGGAGCTGCATAATGAGAGAGCACTTGGATCATTCACGCAAGGCTACAAAGAAAGCAACTAATGGATCACGTTTCTTTTTACAAAACAATTGCAATGTCAAACAACTTTGCGAACCTAGAGGAGAATGTGATGACTGCATGGCACTCTTGGTTGGGCAGAAAGAATCCAGGAAATCTACCTTTTTTCCTCAGACGACAAATCACAGAAATCATTAAGGACAGTAAGATGCAAATCTTTAGCAGGTTTCATTATGTTTGGGAGTTGGTAAGTTTGAGCGAAATTAAAACATTTATTAACTTAATTACATTTTGTAAGAAGAACGTTAACTCAGCAAATTTTAGCCCTTTTGAAAAGGTTACAGTATGGAAAAAGAAACCCTGAAAATACTTTGTAAAACACTTATATTTTAAAATGTTTGTATGTTATATATGAATTCTTACATTATACTAAAATGGTACTATAATATTTATACTGAGTGTGCATTTTTATATGAAATCTTTTTAATATTTAGCATCTTCTGAATTGGGGACCAGGTATCAGAGTATTAAGGTTTATGAAGTGTTGAGGACTAAAGAAAAGTATGCATGTCTGAATTCTGGGTTTTATGAGCATCGGGTTATAACTGCTTTGTTTGTGTTGTTTTTAACATATATGCCCATACAATAGCTCGTTACTGCTAAAATTCAAAGAGTAGTTTTCACTTTTATAGTGAGTGCCTACTATCAGATTCTGAATTATTAGCCAATATTCTGATCATGATATAGTTACCTCTTAAAATAAATTGGGAATAGCTGAGAATATTCTGTGTGTAAGCTCTTCGGCCATTTTATTGAATAATGTACTGTCCTGGGCCCAGGCACCTGCTCTCTTTATTGCCTGCATCCATTCATAAAAGGCCTAAATTAACAGTTGTAACCGTGCCCTTCTGGGTTACCACTTTCTTCCAATCACAGGGGCAGAGCAATGTTCCCTTTGGGATCTTTTTAGAATCCTATTAGTAGGGTATGAGGCTCATCAGTGGGAGCAGATTATGCTGTCTTTGCTGCTGCCTCCTTTTCCTTCTACCCTAGGTCTGGTCATGACACAGTTTTTGTGTCCATTCAACTATTTCCGTTAAGGGCAAGAACCCACCCCACCCCCGTGCACGCGCATGTGCACACAGACACACACACACACACCAAAATAGCTAAATCAGTACAACCCGTAGTGAGGACACAGGTATACCAGTATAAAGATGCCTTATGGAAGTAAAGCTTCTTCCTCCACATTTCCATGAATAAGCTATGCTTCAACAAGCATCTTTATACCGATATAACTGTCTCCAGAGGCCCCAAGCTCCCTCCCCTAGACTGGTAGCTGGAGAATGGTGGGGGAGTGCAGAGGGCTCTGCGAGCCATGCTTTAACTGTAAAAGAGCTGTATGTGGCTCATGAGCTGCGGTTTGGCCACACCTGGCATACAGCCAGCACTAATGGCGTTAAGAGAGCCTTCTTATGGCAATGGATGGAGACTACATCTCAGTGTTTCCACTCTTAACCTCTCCTCTGACTTTTGACACAGCTGCCCTGTTTAGGTGTCAGGAGACGGTGGTGTAGATATACAATGGCTTCAATAGTTTCTCTCCAACCAGATGCAGAGAGAATGGACAACTGCTTCTCTTCCTTTCCCACACCCCCTAACCCTCACCTAAGGACCTATCCTAGTCTCCCTCTTTAGTAACCATGCAAGACCATTTAGAGAGTGGTGAGGCCAATAAAAGGTTGATGAAACTCAGCTATCTTTCCTTTTCCAAAAAGTCAACTAACGTCTGCATAAGGATGCTGCAGGTCTACAGGTGACTAACTCCTGAAAGAAGAGCAGCTACCTCATATCAAAGCAAGCAAGACTCAAGGGAGGCTGGTCAGAAGAGGGGGAAAATCTTTGAAGGAGTGGTTGGGTATTGTGTTCCCTTTCAAATGAAGGTGCATTTTGTGTCATTGCAGAAATTGTTTTGGGATCATGCTTATTATTCCAAAATCCATTGGCTGTATCTTTATTGACAGCAGTGCCCATGTTTTTTTCGTTGGACCCTGTGATGTATTTATTTTATGCTCTGGATGTTCAACTTCCATTAGGTTTGTGTTTGTCGGCAAGGTTGAGGAGAAGTCCTATCAGACTTTTAGCCAGATATGGTCTTCCTTTGCTCACTGTTTTCTCCACCTCATACATTTATTGAATGATGTCTGTTGATACATAGTTGTAAGTTCAGTCATGATTCCAAAGGGCAGTTTAGGATATGAATTTCACAGCCATCTACTGTATTTGGATGCCTATTTACTATTCATTTGATTGAGAATAGTGTTCATATCCCTTAGACATCTTTGAAAATCTCACCCTATTAATAAAATATCAGATGTAAAATTCAGATGTAATCAAAGCAGAGAGATAATAAAAGAAATAGGATCATGGGATGGGGGACTCTGTACAAAACACAAATATACAGTGTTGAGCGTAGGGTGACCAGATGTCCCGATAAAATCGGGACTGTCCCGATTTTTAGTTCTTTGTCCCGCCTCCCGACTGATGCATGGTCGGGACACCATTTGTCCCGATATTGCGGCTTTGGCCGTTTTGGTGGTTGGTTTGGGGTTTTTTTTTTTTTTTTGCTTCGGCAACTCCGGCCGCTTTTTTAATGTTACTTTTGTTTTTTTGTTTCCCCCGTGTGTCCCAATATTTTGTCCGTTTCATCTGATCACCCTAGTTGAGTGTGTTGCTGTGAAATATAACGTTCCAGTAAAGACATGGTGGTTACCACAATTTCTGCTTAATTGCAACTTTCTGAAAATATACTCTTAGTTCAGGTATTGTTACTCAGTCACTCTTTTGTATCTAGACAGTTGGATGCTCTGCTTTTAATGAAATTACAGAAGTTTTCATATTTCCTTTCAGTTTGATTTCAGTTTCTTGGCTTTTCTGCCGCTTGCCCACTGCTGATGTGCAGTTTACTGAGCTGTAGAATGCTGCTCTTTTTCACAAGTATCTGTAAATATGGCTGGTAAAACTCCCCATGTCTTGTTATGTAATGCAATTATGACAGGTATAGATTTTGTGAAATAAAATTGACTCTAGTGCCTTAATCTTCCCTGAAAATTCACCTTCTTAATGTTCGCAAAAAGAAAAGGAGTACTTGTGGCACCTTAGAGACTAACCAATTTATTTGAGCATTATTAGTCTCTAAGGTGCCACAAGTACTCCTTTTCTTTTTGCGAATACAGACTAACACGGCTGCTACTTTGAAACCTTCTTAATGTTGTGTGTGGGCCTAAAAGCTGCAGAATAATCACTAGGTATTGCAGGCATGATGCTATTGCCAAATATCTGCACAGTTTAAAATTAATGTTTTTGAGCTGCATTTGAAATTTTTTTTTTTTAAATACCAGGATTTCTCCAGTGATGATACTAAGCTAGAATACAATGTAGATGCAGCCAATGGCATTGTTATGGAAGGGTATCTCTTTAAGCGAGCCAGCAATGCCTTCAAGACTTGGAACAGGTAAGACTTCAAAAACTCTCCTTGTTATGGTTTGTAACCATGCTGATTTATAACCCTGGAAAACCCATTAATTCCACAAAGTTGCCTGAGGCATAAATTGGTGCACCATTTGGCCAGTTATATTTACTGCAGTGACTGTACAGAATTCAAGGAAATTTCTTCTTTTGTTTTGTTTTCTTGCTTGTTTGCAAGCACAAGGCCTGATCTTTGCAAGTTCTCTTCTCAGAGCTTCTATTGAAATCCATAGATGCCACAGGTGCTGGCTTCTAATTTTCCCCGGAGGTGCTCAAACCCTGCTCCACCCCTGGCCCCACTTCCACTCCACCCCTCCCCCGCTGCCCCATCCCTGCTCCGCCCCCTCCCTACTAACACCTCCTGCACACTGTTCCCTGGCCTGCAGGAGGTGCTGGGAGGGAGGGGGAGGAGTTGATTGGTAGGGCTGCCGGTGGGCGGGACTGGGGGGAGAAGGAGGGGAGCTTGGCTGCCGGTGGGTGCTAAGCACCTGCTAATTTTTCTCCATTGGTGCGCCTGCTGGCTTGCTGGATTGGGCCCATGGGTTGTGACTTCACACAAACTTTGCCTTGCTCTTTGGGTGGAGCATGAAACTCGTGATTGTGTGCACAATGTCATTTGGTCACAGCGTTGCACTAGAACAAATGTTCAGTTGATCGTCAGAGTCCCTGTTTCACAAGCTAGAATGCCCCATCCTGTAAGTATGGCCTACATTCTTTGTTCCTAGATGCATATATTTACAATTAGTCATATTAAAATGCATATTGTTTGCTTGCTCCCAGCTTACCAAATTATCCAGATAGCTGTGTATCAGTGACCTGTCCTCTGCATTATTTACCACTCCCCTAATTTTTGTCATCTACAAACTTTATCAGTGCTGGTTTGGTCTTCCAAGTCATTAATAAAAATGTTAAATAGCATTCAACCAATAACAAATCTCTGCGGATCCCACTGGAAACACACCTGTTCGATGATGATTCTGTGTTTATAACTACATTTTAAGACTTGTCAGTTATTAAATGGATTTAAAATTGGCTGTGGGCCATGTTAATTTTATATCTTCTAGTTTTTTAATCAAAATGTTGTGGAGTACTAAGTCAAATGCCTCCCACAAGTCTAAGTATATTACGTCAACGCTATTACCTTTAACAACCGAACTTGTAATGCCATCTTTAAAAACATCAGGTTAGTGTGACAGGATCTATTTTCCAAAAAGTCATGCTGGCTGGCATTAATTCTATTGCCCTACTTTAATTCTTGATTAATCATGTCCTATATCAGCCATGCTGTCATTTTGCCTGCTATCAATTGTCAGACAGGCATGCTTATAATTTCTTGGGTCATTCTGTTAACTCTTTAAATATTGGCACCACATTAGCTTTCTTCTGGAACTTTCCCAGTGCTCCAAGACTTATTGATGGTCCAGCAGGCACCTCAGCGAGCTCCTTTAAAATGATTGGATGCAGGTTATCCAGTCTTCCTGATTTTAAAAATGTCTAACTTTAGCTGCTATTTAACATGTTCCTGAGCTGCTAGTGGAATGGAAAGTGTTTTATCATATGATATGATTACATCAAATGTTTTTCCCCAAATACAGAACAGAAATATTTATAGAATGCTTCTGCATTTTGTGCATTATTATTGATAATTATACCATTGGCACCTAGAAATGGACCAGTACGCTTATTAGGATTCTTTGTTCCTAATATATACTTTAACATCTCCTTTACTGTCCGTAGCACCACTGACTGGATTTTTCCTTGTGTCCCTCAGCTTTCCTTATCAGTTTTCTGTAATTCCTAACTTTGGATTTGTATTCATTATTATCAACTTCCCCTTTCTTCCATTTGTTGTAAATATATTTTTCTTTATTTTTATTTACAAGTACATTTCTAACTTTAGTTCGTTGCTTTCTTAGGCATAAATGCAGTAACTTCCTATCTGTTTGTGAAGCCTAAAATGAGAGGTGATCAAATGCATTGTTTACATATAGAAACTGGACATCTCACTGAAATGTAATTAGAAATATGAAAGGTAAAGGTGACATAAGAACCAGTTTTACACACTTATTACAGTGACATCACACTTTATCACAATGAGATGCATTCTGTCAAGAAAAAAAGATAACATTTTTCTCTTGCTCTCCTATTTTCTGGTGTGTGGTTACTTCAATTCCCAAACTGGCCAGCTTCTCTCCATGTATTGTGCAATCCTCTGGGCAAAAGATTTGCTTTTGGTTTGTGTTCATATTCCTGAGATTCCAGAAATAGCCAGGAATCAGATGCTATAGTCCAGAGCGCTCTCTTATTGGCTATACAATTAACATTACTGCCAGGAGTTCAGACTGGTTTTCAGTGTGGCGCTTTTTTTTTAAGATTAGTACTGATGCTGCAGTGCAATTCTTTATTTATTTTTCTCTTTTTAAAAAAAAAAAAAATTTTTTTTACTACAGAAGCAGAGACTTTAGTGTTAATTTAATTAAAAAGGTCTGTCTGGTGTTATGACAGTAATGCCAGTAAGTGGTGAAGATGTTAGAAACTTCTGTGGATTCTGATGGCTGAGGCTCATAGTTAAGATTTAAAGTTTACAGTGTATTAAAGGAAAACTGCATTAGAATGTCTCCAGTCACTTGACCGCATATAACACGACTATAGTGCTGTTTATTTCTTTAAAATGTCCTGTATATAAAAATGTAAAATGAAGCAGAAAGCATTTAGGAATTCTGATGCCTTTATACATCTGAAAAAGTTGAGAGCTGCAAGACCCAGGGAAGCGCAGGAAACTTCCACAGTGGTTTTTTTTTAAAAAAGATATTTCTGCACACGTGAAATGGGGGGAAAAACAACAAAAAGCCTTAGGAAAAAATATAGAATTTGCCTAGAAAGTGCTGTTGAAATGTACTTTCCTGAGTCTCCTCCTACAGTGCTGATCTTCTTTCTTGCTAAGTGCAGGCTGCATTTCCAGTTGAAATTATTTTAAAAAGGGTAACTGCCAGTTCCACCCAGTTTCTGTCAATTAGCACTTTGACATCTCTTCAGTATTTTAAAATAGTTCTTTGTAACTCATTTTCTAAAAATACATTGTAGTAAAAATCATGGCACGTTTTACAAAAACATTTTGCTCTTAACTTTCCAAGATGTTTTACGTTAGACTGTCTTTTTAAAACTGCCATTGTGTTTCCTTAACTATCAAATGGATGCTGCCCTAATTAAATAAGTTTATATTACCTTTGATGAAGACATCATATGGAAATGTAAGAAAAAGGAAGTTGACAGCTTTTGGGATTCTTTGGGGGAAATTATCTGTTTACAGGCAACCCCGCCCCTTTTCCCAATAAAAATACTATTGTAAGTTTTCATTGGGTGTGGAACAGATCAGTGCAGTGCTAGCTGACAAATACTGTTGATGGTGCATGTCTTGGTATATAAGATTCATAAATAAACTTGTGGACGGATTACTAGGCAAATATGGAAACTCTACACAATGTGACATTGTTGTCATGTAACTTTATTTTATCAATCAAGACAAAACAATTGAGTGATATTCTCTGAACATTATTTGTGATATTGAGTGTTCTTCCCTTTATTTTCATTTTGTGTAATTGTATGCTCTGCAAGTGTGTGTGTGTTTGAGGGGGATGAGGGTGGTACCCAGTGCTCCTTCTTTTTAAAGTATTAGGAGCTAAACATTTTGAAATCTTGTATACTACTTACTGTGGGTATTCATATACGTGATGATGGACTTCAGTGGCGATGGGAGCTGAAATGTAGTAATTGGACAATGGAAAGCTTGCAAAGAGGGGTATGCAGATTTCTGCTGGAGTTATCGATATATGTACTAAAAGATACACACACATGTCACCTCAGTGGTTCAGGAAGTGAAACCACACTCTGTTCTTAGTATGATGCACTCCATGGAAAATTACTTGGGTTCCTGGAAATTCAGTATTTTACAAAAATTCCTTCACTCTATCAGTGGTGTGAATGTGGTGGGTGGAAACAAACCCCTTAGGAAATACAGTAGTACTCTCTGTGTATTCTGTGCAGTTTGTCAGGTTGTGGGCACTGTAAGCCTTATCTTTGATTTGTGCTGGGTTTTCATATCATGCTAATTCTTCATTTATTTTGCTCATTTTGCATTTTCATTCCTTTCCCTCCTTTCCCTTATGTTTTAATCCTACCCAATTTTTTCACATGACAGGAAAAAGCCAGATCACATCAGGTACCAACCAGCTTTTTATACTTTCCCAATGTTCTTTGGCACGTAAAAGCTCATCATTAACCCTGCATTTCATTTTGATTACTTGCAATGGATATAAAGTGTCTGTTTATGAAAACAGAAGGATTTTGCATGGATTGACAGCACATGTGCTGTTCAACACCTTTTAAGTTGATAAGGAGGTTTGATGCATTTATAGTCAGAGGAGCTTAAAACACCCCTGCTTCCCCAACTTAGTCTCCACTGTCAGACTTTTCCAGAATATATGTGAAAAGTGCTGTCTTGCTCCCATTTAAAAGTCAATGGGCATTTTGCTACTGACTTCAGTGGGAGCAGGATTGGGTCTTCAAGTGTTTTTCTTTTGATCATTCTATTTAATTCTCTGAGCCTAGATGATTCGGTCAGCTGCATGCCTGTCGAACAATAAACAAAATGACTCCCTCTTGAAAGTTGTTAAAGCTGATTTAAGTTTTATGTAAAGACACGAATGTCATTTTTAAAATTTTCTTTTCTCATTGCTCTTTTTTCTCTTGTATTTTCAGACATCTTAAGAACTACTCTCCACTGATTTTTGTTCTTTTCTAACTGACAAGTGTTTGATTTTATTTTTCCTTTCTTTTGGATAAAGAAGTGAAATTAGCCGTTTTATTTAACGGCAACTTTGAATGATATAGAAGAATTTAATGTCAAAATATCTGCCTTGTGGAGCAGCATCGTTTTAGTTATGTGCTACTAGCTAGCCAGCAGGAACAAAACTAATTTTTTTTAGGCCCCCACAAACTGTCTCTTCCCCCCGTGTTTTGAGGTAATAGAGTGATGTATTTAAAACACATGGTTGATAAAGCTCAGCACTTACAACACAGCTAGTCTCCAAATCATTTACAATCAATCCCAGGAACGCACTAGGGACATTGCATCCAAATAATGTAGGAACAGAGGCACAAGGTGCGAGTCTGATTTGTCTTTGGACCATGCCCTTCTGTGTGGATTAGAAACCAGAGAACTTCCCTCATCGGATCTAACCCTTTTAAGATAGACTAAAATTTGGGCCAAAAAAAATCTCGATTATCTTTAATAATGAAATCACTGTGGTGCTACTAGTGACCTTAATGCACTGTATTTTGTAGTTGTCACTTTTCGAAAAATGCTATAATGCTAATGTGCAGTCACTCACCCATTTGGCATAGACCTGTGGCTAAAGTAAAGCCAGAAACTAACGAGTATTCATTATGGCATATACTGTACCAAATAAAGGGTTACATTTTTCAGTGAAATTTTTTCCCCATCTCTAAAAATTTAAATCATTGGGCTTCTTTACCTTGACTTTTTGTAAAAGGTAGATAGAGCAGTGTGAAAACCTCCAAGAGAAGACCTCAGAAGTGTTGTCATACTGTACATTTATACTGTCAGATATACCATGGTTGCCAGATTGGAGTTTATTCACTGTGGAGATTCACTAAATGTTAACTGTACAAGTGGAGTGTGTTGCATTCATAAAACTCACCACACTTAACAGTGATTATTAGAGATTTGCTCCATTGCATGTTATCTCTTGTGGCAGGGCTGCACTTTTCTTTGCTTTGTAGGGGTTGCTTTTCATGTATCTAACTGGTTGTCTGTACAAAAGCAAAGAATAAGTGGGAGTTTATCTTCCTTTTTCAGCCTGCTTTGTAGCTGAATTATCCATTTCTTTACTTAAAAATCTACATAATGATTGGGTTACATCCTCGATTAATACATTCCTTTTAGATGGTAAAGGTGATACCTTTTAAATTTCAGTGACTGAAATATACTGTAGTTAATAACTTGAAAAAATCCTTTCCATATTTCATCTAAGTATTTCAGTCATTTAGAATTAACCTTTATAATTTTCTAAATGGATATCTTGCTTTTTGAAACTAAATATATTCCTACAACATTTGGAAATATAATTGTTAAAAGGTAGAAATCTCAGCTTTCTACAGGCTAAGTACTAACTGTTTTACAATAACAAATTCCTGGCATGAGTCTAATTCTTTTTATACCTTATTTCCTGCTTTGTTCTTCCTTAAGTATTTTTTGTGCTTGTGATGATTGAATGAATAGGGGTGTTTTGTTACTATTTGTAGTGAAGTAGAGTTCAGTATTAAACAATTTCATGGATATGTGACTAAATGTTTTGATGGGTACTTTACATAACATTGTTCTTCGTCTTAACAGGCAGCCAAAAATAAGTGACATACTGTATGTGTGTGTTTGTGATAGCCACTTTGATAAAGGTTTATTTTAATACAAGCCTGTGTTTTATATCTTATATTAAACAAATATGCCCAACTTTGACTGTAGTGCTGAATTGCTTTTGTTTTGCTTTTTAGTTTTTTCTGTACTCTTTAGCCAGTTACAGTGATTCCAATTTTGTGATTGCATCCCAAGGAAATAGAGTGGCAGTTAATCAGTTATATTTGTCATGTTTTGTGTATGGTAGCCTGATGATGAATCAGATGTTCTGGACCAGGGTCCTATATGCAGAGTCTTTTCCAGAGTAGTAGCAGTATTTCCAACCCCAAGCATTCAAAAACCATGAGTCAGGGCCCCAAAAATAAGATTGGCAATTTTGGGAGTCTTTTTATTTGCCTTCTGGTATTTGAGCCTGCAGGGTGAATTTGCTTCATGTTTTCAAGCTTATCTCTCCAAAAGCAGGGGCTAGGAACTAGCTTAAAAAAAAAAAAAGGTTGATTCTCATGCAGTCTCTTAGAATCATAGAATATCAGGGTTGGAAGGGACCTCAGGAGGTCATCTAGTCCCACCCCCTGCTCAAAGCAGGACCAATCCCCAATTTTTGCCCCAGATCCCTAAATGGCCCCCTCAAGGATTGAACTCACAACCCTGCGTTTAGCAGGCCAATGCTCAAACTATTGAGCTATCCCTCCCCCTCGATTCTAGCATCTAGGGCTTTAAGAAACACCAAATACTAGAAAACTTGCAATAAATCGAAAGAGGTGGCAACACTGCAATAGTTTCAGCAACTTCATAAGTTATTTCTAAAACCTCTCTCTCTCAAAAAATATTTGAGTGAGGAATTCATATATTCTAAGGCTGGAAGTGACTGCGGTGATCACCTAGTCCAACCTCCTGCATAACAGTTCATGGAACTTCCCCGAAATAATTCCCTGTTTGAACTAAAGCAGTTATTAAAATCACATCAAATCTTGATTTTAAATTTGCCAATAGTGGAAAGTCCATCACAACCCTTGGTATATTGTTCAGTGCTTAATTACCTCACTGCCTTGATTTCAGTCTGAATGTCTAACCTCTCAGCTTCCAGCCACTCCATAGTTTAAGTGTTATTGGTAAACAAGCTAAAATAGATTGATAAATAACAATTTAAAACATTTCGCTTGTCATAAAAATATAGATGTGACCAGACATTGGAATATGTAACTTTTGGAATGAATAGCTTCACTAACATAGTGATAATGTGCATGCACTTGTGTATGATTTAACTAACGTGAATCTTGCTTAATTTCTTTTCTTTTGTCTTGATGAAAGCCCATCCTTGTGCAAATTTGTCAACACTCACTGAGACATAACTTTTGTGAACTATTTTATTCAGTGTGATTCCATAGATATGTTCGTCTGTTACAACCAGTAAGCACTGTGAAATCAGTTAAATGTTTGGATGTCTTCTTATTTATATAGACGCTGGTTTTCGATACAGAATAATCAGCTTGTTTACCAGAAAAAATTTAAGGTAGGTACTGTACTTCCAATACCCAAGAATGTTGTTAATGGGAATTAGGGTGGTCTGTTGATTAGAGCAGAGGGATGAAAGTTGAGAGATGCTGCCACTCATTTGCAACATGACCTTGAGCAACCCACTTAATTTCTCTGTCTCAATTTTCTCGCCTATAAAATGGGGCAATATCAACTTTGTAAATCTCTGAGATCCCTGAATGATAGGTGATTTGTAAGTGCTCATTGTTATCATTGGGGTTCCTGATAATGATTCCACAGGTTGGGCTGCATTCCAAAATGAGCATAAACTCCTGTTTTTCTCTCAAAGTAGGCTGCTGGTTGCTGTTAAATTTCATATAGGATTAGTTTTTATGCCCTTTGAATTTTCTGTGCAGTTTTTGTCTCGCTTTCATTCAGAAATTTGTAATAGGAAGACTTTTAATTTGGGCTTTAGTTAAAACTGCCAGTGACAAATTTAGCTTTTCATTGTTGGCTGATGCCACTTTTAAAAACATTGTCTGTTTTCATAGAACTTGGGAGAGCTGTGGTACATGGGCAAATCTGGTGCAATAGGTAGCTTGTTTTTTAAGTAATAATCTTCCTATAATTGAAAATTTTTGTGTGCACACACAAACCTGATTGGGGCCAGGAACGTGCAGTCCTGTTTGATTGATTGGGAGGTGCAGGTGGGCAGATCCACATAAAAATTTCTCTGTTAAGAGTTACACTTTGGTCAGATTTTATCCTACAAGAGAAGGTATGTGGAGCTGCTGCTGGACACAGTATTCTATGATGCTTCAACAACAGCTATATTTCTACCCCTACTGGTCTGCTCCCTGCCTACTTATCCACCTCCCACCCCTAATTAAAAAAATTATAGGAAATGAATACATGGAAAGCTTTGTTGTGAAGCACTTGGGGGTTGCTACACACAAGATGCCTGACCCAACCCACAAAAGCAAGGCTATGAAAAATTAAGCTACTTTATATACATATCCTCTTTTCTTCTACCCACAAGCGCACACCTTACATTATCACAGCTACCAAATACCACAGATCGCTCAGAGCATCCTTAACTCTGCCCCACCTGCAGCCCAGGGAGGCCAACCTTCTTCATTCCCTTCAGCAAATATGCCTGTACCAAATTATCCGTTTCCCCATACAACTAACTTCTGCACCAAACCGCCCACAGTTACTAGTGTTGGGGGAGAAGAGTCTAATAAAGGATCGTGTGCAGAAGGGCAGAAGTGGGGTGAGTTAGTTGGGCAGAGTGGGCAGAGTTAGTTAGAAATTGCCATAGTAGATCAAAACTGAGGTCCATCTAGTCCAGTGTCTTGTGGCCAGCAGCTGGGTGTGGTCTGTTGTGTAAGGTGGCTCTGGTAATGGTTGGATTACCTGTGGGTGGACTGGAAGAATGAATGTACTGATTAGGTGATTTAACTTTTTTTTTTCTTTTTTCCATTTGGGGGTTTGTCAGGTCTGGGAGTGTGTGGCAATCCTAACAGCTTCGTGATAATGTTTTGTGAGCAGTATTATTATTATTCTACCATGATCACACTGTAGACACCATAACAAATATTATACTTCAACAAAATCCTTAAACTAGCATCAGTTTTTGTGTTTTTTATGGACCCAATTTTTAAAGCACCTTCAACTTAGCGTCTGATTTTGCACTTGCAGTGAAATGTGGGCACTTTTTGATTTGCAAGCTAATTATTTTCTTCTCAGAAAGAACAGTGGTACTCAGTTGAGCCAGTGTGCTGTTTAAATATCAGCTGTCAATCACACCATCAATTTTTATAGGAAAGGGGGGGGTTCTCCCAAGTCTGTATTACATTTTCATACACATTAATGTTTAACTTCTACTATGGATATTACATGCAGTCTGTTTTGATGAAATGGAAAAATTGGAAAGCAGTTGGGTCTAGCAGTGGCTTCAGTAAGTTTCTCCCCTCACCATAAACTTGACTTGTTTTGTTCATTTTACCTTTTCTAGGATAATCCCACAGTAGTCGTTGAAGACTTGCGGCTTTGCACAGTTAAGCATTGCGAAGACATAGAAAGACGTTTCTGCTTCGAGGTGGTCTCTCCAACAAAGTAAGGGGTAATTTTTTTTAAAGTTCATATATAACACAAGTTTTACATACCCATTTCAGACTTGGAATTTAAGAAGGCCATGTAGGGTTCTGGACTAGAGGACCTCTTGAAGTCTCTTCCAATCCTATGATTCTGTGTTTTGGGAGTGGTCACAATGGGAAAAGAATCTCAACCACTTTGTTTTCTAAATTCTGGGACCTGGAGCATGTGATATTCTGGGCAGCCGTAGTGATTATTCAGTCTGCTTTTTGCACTTGTAATAAATATGCATTCTGGTGCTCGTTATACAGTAGTACAGTTGGTAGGCAGATTGCTGCTATATGGATCAGTTGCAGGCAGTACTGTCAGGCTGCTTCTTAATAGTACAAAAAATGGCTTCCAATCACGTCTGATAATTTCTAAATTCAGGAATAAAGCACAACATAATAAAAGAAAAATATTGAATTTTTAAAAAGTAAATATTAGCCCAAGCAGCACCAGATAGTATAAAATACTGCCTAGTGTGTTTAGAGAGAAAAGGCAGCTCTGCATGTGCAAAAACTGGACATTCATGTCACGTTAGTGTCCTGTGGTATAAGGCCAGCTGCTCTTGCGGGGCGCTGTGTGCGCGTGTGTGTTCTCTTCATCTTATTATTTGTCTGTTTCCTGCTCTTTCTCCCTCTACCCTGTAGCCAAATTCTACCTCTATTTGGCTTTTGCCTATCTACGCTTTCTCAACCCTTCAGTTTGACACTTGATTACTTGTTTTCTCTGAATGTTAGTGGGGGCAGCGGCTTTTCCTCTTTAAATCCCTGAAGTCTCCTGCCTTTGAATTCAGTCCCATATGTTAGACATCAGAACTTTGTGCCTTCTCTAGGACTGATGTCCATGTCCTATTTAGTCAGTCATGCAGGTGAATGGGAGTTGAGGATGCAAAGCAGAAACTTCAGGATAACTACATGGAAATTTAAACAGCAAATTAAACCATCCTTTGGATTTCTTAGTGTGTCCTACCAAGGTATCCATCATTTAGATTTGAGTATTTTGAGGCAGGGAACATCTTCATTCTGTGTTTATGAAGGCTCAAGCACATGTCAGCTGTTAACAATAATAGTAACTGTGTGGTATAGTATGTATACAAGGATGTGCTGAAGTTTCTAACATAAAACTTGCTTAAGAGTCTGGGTTTTAATGAGTGAGTCTCTTCTTTGAGCCAATTGGTCAGTTTGCTTGAATCTCAAAGTCTGTCTTATTTCTCATAGAAGCTGCATGCTCCAAGCTGATTCTGAAAAGCTGCGGCAGGCATGGATTAAGGCTGTTCAAACCAGTATAGCTACGGCATACAGAGAGAAGGGGGATGAATCCGAGGCAAGTACATTTACCTTTCAGGATCCAGTAATACAGTAAACCATTTCTGATCCTTTTTTCTTCAAGTGAGAATTGTAGATGAAATTTAATTATTTTTGTGAGGTCTCTGATCTGTCTCTACTCAACTTTTCATCTGGTAAGGTTATTTTGACCATTATGTTTTGAATCAATAACTTCTTTGAGTGATTATCTACCCAGATTTCACAGTTGGAGTGCATGCACCCCATGTGCACAGATGGGGTTATTTTGAATGACAGTGTCTGTTGAGGGGCACAGGTGTGGTTCTGCTCCCACTGTAGATGAGAGAATAAGGGGCAAGGTGGCCTCAACCACCTTGCAGAGCACCAGCATGTGTCCCAGCGCGCAGGGTAAACAATACCAAAAACTACAGAGATCTTGGTCCTCCTTCAGATACCAGTCCTAGCAACAATTCCAACAGCGTCTCTCAGAACTACTGAGGAAATGTCAGTGGTTCCACTCGCAATGCTCATCAGTCTCGCCCTCCAGCAGGGACAAACACCTAGGAAGCAGTTTGGAAGGGACACTTGAGAACTCAGCTAAATCATCTGTGGATCCACCCCCTTGGTTTTTGTTTGGCCTCTATTGTTTCAAAGAAGTCTGAGTTAGGATGACCTTGGACTGGTGGGTCCCAGAGGTTGTGAAGAAAGGTTCTCACCCAGTTTCAAACTATTCATCTCGCCCATACCCACCCTCCACCTCCTGTCCCTCTTCAGGAACTCTTCTAATGAGGCACTTCTACAACTAGAAGTCAGCTCCCTACTACAACTGGGAGCTTTAGAGGAAGTTCCTCAAGCATTGAGAGGAAAATGCTTCTACTCCCACTACTTCTTGATCCCAAAGAGGAATGGTGGGTGGAGACCCATCCTAGTTCTGTGATGTCTGAATTCCTTCATTGATGTTTCAAGTTCTGGATGGTCACCTTAACCTCCATCAACCCCCATTGGATCCTATGGACTGGTTTGCAGCTCGTGACCTATAGGATACTTATTTCCACATCTAAATAGTCCTGGAACATAAACAATTCCTGCTGTTCATGGTATGAACATCCTGCTCTCAGTACAGAGCCCTACCCTTTGGTCTGGACAGCCTGAGCCACATTAAAAAAGTCGTTCCCCAATAATAGTTGGATTGGGTTATGGGGAACAGCAGCAACTGTTAATTCAGCTTGCAAATTCTCAATTTCCATGTGCACTTTAGCCAAAGGCTCAAGGATTTTGTGACCCCCCCCTACTAACAAAAGCTCTGCCATCTGTCCTGGCAGTATGTCTTCCTCCTGAACAAGATCTCTCCTGACCACAGAAATTTCTGTGCCAGTATCCTTCCACCCAAGAAGTTCTTTGCCATTTACTCTGACAGCCTTTGTGCTTCCCGCCAGGTTGTGCAGTTGCTATTTTTACAAACCCTGTGTGATAAGTGGCAATTGCCTGAGGTGCCTCTGTGCTCTGGGTAGCAGCATTTCCATGAGCTGCTTGCTGCCTGTTCCCACTCAGCACTGGTCATTTATTCCTCAGGTGCTCAGTGGAATTACAATGATAGCACCTTCTGGGCTCTTCTGTTTTTCAGGAGAGTTGGGACGAGGACTGGAGGAATTACTTGGGGAGCTGAGAGCCTACCCTCCCATTCACCCTCCTTCTTCCCAGGGGTAAAATGGGGACCCTGCTTCCCACCAAACTTAAACCCCTCTGCCTGTGATTTATTTCTAATAGATGCTTGGGATTCAAATTCCTCCACAAAAGTAGCAAGCTCTTCAACAGTTTTTTCACCTTTTTTATCCCATAGACACTGTTTCACCTCATCATTAGACATATTCAGGAACTGTTCCTAGGCAACCAGATCACACATTTCAAGCTTCGAAGAAATACCTTTTCCCCTTACACACTTATCCAGTAAATGTCTCATTTGGTTACGTATGCCACATTACTCATTCCAGCCCCTCTCTTAAGGCTTCTAAATTTTACTGTAAGTTTCATGTGTAATCTGAAACTTAGTTTTTAAAACCAATTCCTTAAATTTACCATAATTTGAAGCATTACTAATTGGCATCTTACTGAATATATCCAGAGCTCTCCCAGACAACTTTGGAACTAAAGTGGTCATCTTTTGATCATCAGCAATCTCATGGAGCACTCAGCCTTTCAAAGGTGATGAAATATTCAGCAATGTCCCCAGTCTCGCTATATGCAGAACACAACCACTCCCATTTGTGGATTTTTGGAGAGGTGGGGCCCCCTGGTATGGGGTTCTGATTCCGCTTCTCTAGCAAGGCCAGTTCATGCTGTCTCACTTTTTCTCTCTCCTCCATGTCTTTGGCTTGCAGTTCCAGTGCAGCTTTTTGCCTAGCTGCTTCTGCCTCCATCTGCAGACTCTGTAATTCCATACGTTTTCTGTGTTCTTTTTCGTTTTCTGCTGCCTGCGATCTGCAGAGCTCCAATTTTGCAACTGTTTCACTATCACTCATTTTCCTGCTTTTTCTGCCCCTACTTCCCTTGCCCGAAATAAGCAAACAGAAAATAACAAACTGGTAACCACTTTCTGTTCTCTAGCCAACACGCTTAAAACTCCCTTAAAATCACCACCAGTGTGTCAGAGCAATAAGCTGTGCACATTACCCTGCTCTCTGCGCCACTGTGACGGGTTGACCCCGATTTTCCGGGGTGCCACCTCGTGCTGGGATATCACTGAGCCCCCCTGTTCCACCAGCCTGTACTACTTCACCCTGTCCTGCTGTGCCAGGCCCTCAAGCCTCCTCTAGCACACACAGACAGGTAGGGACACACCCGGCTGCAGAAGGACATAGACACTGGAAATCAGCTCTGCGTGGAAAGACTCAGCTTGAGAATTGCCCTTTCTGGAGTGTAAACCCAAAAAGTTTATTAACTACGAAGGATAGATTTTTAAGTGATTATAAGGGTTAACAAACAGATCAAAGCGCAGATTACTGAGCAAATAAAGCAAATGCAAACTAAGCTCAATACACTAAAGAAACTGGCACCTAAATATTGTTTTAGGCATTTCTTTCACAGGCCAGACGACTTTTTCTGGCCCAGGCTCAACCCTTCTTCTCTCTTCCCTGCCCTCCCCCCAAGTCCTTGTTTCTGAGATCTTCTCAGCAGTCATCCTGTGGGAGGATTCAGTGAAGAAGAAAAAGCCCTGATTAACTTTCTTCCCTGCATTAAATAGGATTTACATATGGCGGGAATCCTTTATTTCCCAGTTTGGTCTTTACCCCTTCTGTGGAAAAATACTAGCAGGCCAAGATGGAGTCCACTACCAGGTGACAGGATCACATGACCCTGCAATGTCAAAGCAGCATCCCAGGAAGCTTCTCAGGAAGGTGGGAGATTAGCATCTTCAAAGTCCTATTGCCCTCCCTAGTGGCTCATTGACTAACCAGCCAGTCTTGTGGGCATTCCCCAGGTGCAAACACTTTTGTAGTTGATACATAATCTATATTCCTAACTTCAGATACAGAAATGACACATGCCTACAAATAGGATAATCATATTCAGTAAATCATAACCTTTCCAATCGCTTACATGACTCATCTTGCATAAAACCTGTCCTAGTTATGCCATATTCATATCATAAGCATATGGGGCATAGTGTCACAACATCCACACCGACTTTGATGTAATATACAGAATTCATAGGAACAGTGATAGATTCCTAGTTGGCAAAAGGATACCTTCCACAGCACCCAGACATCAGTGACAGACATACGACAATTTTATGTGCACCCAGTAACGCAAGTGAAAATCTGCCTGAAGCTACTGGGGCTCATGTCGTGTATGACCTGCAGCTTGCTAAACCTCAAAGGGTGGTTAAGATCTGTGTATTAACCCAAGAGAGACTGTAAGGACATGTGGATACCTCTCCACAGAGAGCCTTTCTTCATTAGACTAGTGGATACACCCAGACCAGGAGTGCACAGGAGCTCCGTTGTCTGCCTCCCTCCCTTAGAATAATCTGATCATGAGTACCTTCACCTATAGGTGGGGAGCACACTTGGACCAACTCTAGATTCAGGGGAAGTGGTTGGCTCTCATGTCATTCCTTCATATCAGTGTGTTGGAACTCCAAATAATTCGATTGGCATGCAGAGTATTCTTACCTCTCCTTTAGGGTCTCCCTGTGCAAGTGCTTATATACAATACCATAGTGATGCACTACATCAACAGGCAAGGAAGGGCCCTATCCTCCCCCTGGTGCCAAGAAGCTATGAGTCTGTGGATATGGAGTATTCGACACCAGGTCACCCAGTAGCTTTCCATCTCCCAGGCCTTAGGAACATCTTGGTGGGCCAACTCAGCAGAGATTCTCCAAGAGCCACAAGTGGCCCCTCAAGCCCTTGGCCCTCCAGACAGTCTTTTGCAGATGCGGCTACCCAACAATAGACTTGTTTGTGTTATGCCACAGCGACAAATGCTAGAGGCTCTGCTCCAGAGGAGGCGGAGTCTGGGATTCCTCACAGGTGCTTTCCTCATCCCTTGGTCTCCAGACCTCATATATGCTTTTCTCCAGGGTCCTGTGAAAGTTCAAGCAGGATTCAGGGACAGTCATCCTGATAGCATCCGCTTGGGCCAGACAGTTCTGGTACCATACCTGATGAAACTGTCAGTTCAGAGGCCAGTCACCTCACTGAGTCTGCCTCGCCTGCTCTCTCAGAATAACAGTCAAGTCCTGCACCTGAACCCAGAGTAACTGAACATGACTGCCTGGATACTGGCTGGCTGATGTTCCCCAGGAGGAGTTGTTTGCTGGCAGTCCTTGACATCTTGCTGCAGAGCAGGAAACTGTCCACAAGACAAACTTACCAATGTAAATGAAGCAAGATGGATTGATTAAGTCACTTATTTAAATCACTGATTTTTAATAATTTAGATCAGCGAGCAGGAGACTTTGTCATCAATTTTAATTTTGTTTTGCATTTGTATTTTTCTACGGAAAGATTGATTCTCATTGATTTGATAACTATTAAA